GTTATGCATGCTGGTAGAAAATCAAAATCCTCCTTTTTCACTGGCCACTGTGTAATTATACATCTGCACATGCAGAACAGCCAGACAGCTAAGCAGTGACATGCAAGCAGTGACAAAATTAGATGGATCTTTTCAAAACAATGCTGGGATGGCCTCACATGCTGGATTTCATAGTGCTTCATGGTATCCAGCACTGCCAATCCCAAGAATTCACAAATCACAAGCCGTCTTTAAAATGAGGTTAAGAACAAGGTATTTGGGCTTCTATTCAACTACCTGCTGGCTGGGAAGCACAGAAGAACCACAGTTCCAAGCTTTCCTCTGTGGCCAGGAAGACTAAAATCTCACTTAAAAATGAAATTAAAGCTTCAATTCTCATACAGTCCTCTGAGGGCTTGGGTTTCATGAAAAACATCGAACATTGTACAGTTGTGCTAAAACCACAGGAGATGCAACATAGGGAGTAGAGCAGCTGCAGAACATCCTGAGAACTGTATCAATCACAGCAATGTGGTTGCTATCTACGTAGATGCATTGCTTTATTTATTATTACAGATGCTGCTGTGCAAGTTTTTGCATGCCTGTAATTATGGAGGACTGCTGTCCCAAGATTTCAGCTGCAAATTATCATCCCCCTCAAGTTCACACAATGGCCAGCAAACAGGCTGGTGACCTCATCCAAATGTAACCAAAACCTGGAGATAAAGCTGAGGTCAAGGGACTGGAGACACCGCTGCTTTTCCTGCATTTCAAACCCTGTGTGGACCCCATGCAGCAAACTAGAAAAATTATATCACTGCTGACCTCCGTTCACGTCTAACAGAGCTCAGTGCCTGACGGGGTGTTTGCTCTGCACCTGCACAGACCTTCGCACTGCAAAGCTTGCCATCAAGCGGCGCAGCAAGCAGGGGAGGCTCTGCTCTCAGCTGCCTGCCAGCACCGTGCCACCAAGAAGCTGCACTGCCACAAACCCACGCCCAGCACCTTGTTCTCAGCTCAGCTGCGTTCAGGTTTCCTGCTTTGCTGGCTGTCACAGGTTCCTCGGCAGCAGATCGCCTGCCCTGCCCTTGCCCTGCCTTCCCCTCTCACCCCAGCTCGCTGGAACAACCATCGGTTTTACAGCATGTCCTACACTGGAGGTTTTGTGTTCTCATCTTTTAAAATGATTTAGTGTGACAGTTTAGTACTGAATTTAAAAAAAGGAAAAGAAAAAAAAAAAAAGGGAAGAGATAGAGAAGAGAGAAAAAGGAGAGACAGTCCCCTTAAGGCAACAGGATTATGGAGCAGTGATCTCAGAGGAACAAGGGTTCCTCTCTGGTTCAGATGCGCTTGTCAGGGCTCGGTGTTGTCTCTGAACAAGAAATCTCTCTTGCTGGCCCAAGGCACACTTTTGTGGTCAAGAGGACAGAAAATAAAAGAAGGGAACTTCAAAGGCCCATAAGCTGCACTGGCCCGCTGGGGCGGGTGGCTGCGGCACATCCCATGGCTGACAATTACGACCAGTGTGCCGGGAAGGCTTGCCTCCCTCTCGTCAAGAGGGATGAGACACAGACTGTGAGCTTTAGAGCTTTGAGGATGTGTACAGTTCATGATGAAAGATAGCACTTCAAAGCCCTCTGCCTCTAAACCAGGGAGCAGTGAGTGGAGGGTAAGCAATCTTTTTGTCCTGGGGGGCAGCATGTGGGGGAAGGATAAGACTTATTTTCACTGCCATTTATTACTGCCATGAAAGAGAAGCCTCGTGCTGTTTATGGAATCTCTCATTAAACAGATCTCTAGATAAAATGCTTGATAAACATTCATTAGCTGGGTCTCCCAGCACACTTGGCTGACGAGCCCTGGTCTCTGTCTCACATAGGGGGAAGCAAGGCATGGAGCTTGGCAAGCACCCCAGGGCAGGGCACCTCCAAGACACTCATGAGGTCAACCCAAATGCAGGAGCACAGCCCCAAGAACCACAGAACACAGCCTAACCCCATGCACACACACCACCACCACCACCAGGGCAAGCAGGCAGGCCTTCCCACAGCCGAGTCCCCCACCAACCCCACGCGCTCTCTTCTGCCCACAGATGCACAGGGAGATGGCTGGGCTTGGCCTATGCTCCCACCTCCCTGTGCTGCGCCTGCCCTACAGAGAAGGCAAATGTCTGCCTGGCAGATTCCTGTGAGAAAGGAGCCTGTAAAAGAGCAAACAGACCTTTATTATTTGTTAATTGATTCATGCACCCAGAGGAGGTTCACACCTGGCCCTGGGCAGCACAACTGCCTGCCACAACGAGCACTCAACAACTGCTGTCCTACGGCAGACACAAAGCCATTGGCACAGCAGGCTGGGGATCCTCTGCTTTCGTTCTGAGTTGCTGCTTCCTCCTGCGAGGCGCTTTGACTCCTGAGCCCCAGGAGCTCAGCCCACGTCCACTGCAGGTCTGTGGCCAAGGGCCGAGAGCAGCATTCCCAGCGAGCGCCAGGCGCTGCTCCTCTGCAGAGCCGCCACATGTGGTCAAAGGTGACATTTTACAGCTGTTCCAGCCTCCAACAGGTGAGAACTATCTATCTTAGCACTTAATTGCATTGCTAAGCCGCTGATAAGCTAGGACAGCATAAAGCAAATAAGCTAGGTCAAACACATCCCTGGGGAAAGCCTGTGGAGAACAGGGAGAGCTGCGCCAGATGACAAGTCTGCCTCGCTGTGCCACAGAGCATGCCTGCCTCTAACTGACAACTGCCCTGCTGCGGCTGTGCTGGGTGCAGTCTCTACAGAAAGCCCCAAATAATTTACATCGGTGCGCCATACGAGCGCCCTAGGGAGCCAAGCAGTGTGTGCCCGCAACGACTGGGAGTTCCAGCCCCGCCGCCATGGCTCCAATGCGTGCCTGAAGTCAGTGCTGTTATCTTGCAAAAGGAATTCCAGTGAAACGCTTTGAAAATCGCTTTCTCCTGGCCATATGGCATCGCCAAGCCCGGCCCTGTCAGCACGGTGTGCATTTGCATGTGTGAGAGACAAGTTCTGGCTCCTGCGTCGCAGAGTGACAACAGGGCGAGGGTAGAATTTAGCACTGTTTTGAGTTTCTGCACAAAATCTCGACGAGACAAATTAATCTCACCTCTCAGCAGGAGCGGAGGCAGCGCCTGACGGAACCTGCCTGCAGCACAGCCCGTGCCTCTCAGCAAGGTCTGCCAGCACTGCTGAGCGCAAGGACAAGACCAAGGCAAAAATTACCATCCAAACCCAATGCTGCACCATCTACTTCCACAGCAAACCAAATGTGAACAGCCGTCAGCTGCAGCGATATAAACAGCAGTGAAAAGACTTCAAGACAGCAAATTCACAGCATTCACACATTTAACTTCCCGACGGAGAGGTATTTTGAAAACTCGTGTTGCTGAGCTGCTCTGTGATGCGAAGGGGTGGGGGATCTTGGGCTTCAACACAAGGAGGAGCCAACAAAGCTGCTCACACTTCAACACAAGCCTCTGCGGCAGATCTCTGTGCCACGCGTTTATTCAGGATGGCAGGAGTTTTGTTTTGCTGAGGCAGTACCGTATGGGCAATCTGGCTTGCCTTATCAGCGAGCCAAGGCCGACAGAAGATAAATGCTCTTCCCCATTTGTTTAAATTCTCTCCTTCCCCCACATCAAGCCGCATACTTTCATAAAAATATCTGCAAATGTAATAACACAATAGTCTTGTCATCAGTTTCCACATTGGAATTGATAATTTGCAAAGCCTGGAAAGAAAGAGAATTCCTAATACTTAGCACTGCTGAAGATCCCAGCTATAACCTGGGCCTGTATCCAGGTGATGCAGCACACACCACAACGCCTGTGCATGGCCAGCACCCACTCCTACACAACTGCAAACGACTCCTTTTTCTTGGCCCTCTTGTAATAACGCAAGAAGGTTATTTCACCACTTTTTATTAATGTGCTGATCTCCCCCCTTCAGGGTATTTGTACGTTCCTCCTACTTTTTATGCCGCAGCTCAATGCTGGCTATGTTGCAGAACAGCTGCATGCCCTGCCAGTTCATTCGGAGCCATATCACAGAATCACAGCATGGTTTGGGTTGGAAGGGACCTTAAAGCCCACCCATTGCCACCCCTGTGCCATGGGCTGTGTGCCCCCCAGCTCAGGCTGCCCAGGGCACAGCCACGGCCGTGGGCTCCTCCAGGGATGGGGCACCACAGCTCTGGGCAGCGCTGGGGCCTCACTGTCCTCTGAGTACAAAACCTTGCATGACACACTGGAACCATTCCCACCACAGTGCTTTCAATCATATTCCACACTTTGTCCTTCAAGCTGCTTCTTCAGGATTTTTACTGACAGTCTCCAGCTAAGCGAGCCTGTCCCTACCAGCAGCAGGAACTGGAGAAGCCCCACCTCACAGCTGCACTGAGCCCTCGAAGGACAGCCTGGCATATTTAGAAATATGTCACTGTCACTCCCAGTGTGAATCCTAACTGGCTCAGTCTCTTAGCAACACCCAGTGTGTACCACAGGTAACTTGCAATTAATAGTAATAGCTGGAGCTGAAACCCTGCGACACACCAAGTACCTTCCACTGCATTTTGGAGAGCTGAGACAGACACAAATGCTTTGTACACATAGGCAGGAGGTGGATGGACAAGGCCTTCTGAGAATAATATATATGAAACAAACAATGAAATATTTCTCTGTTTGGAAGAAATGAAGATTTGACTGTATTGGAGGGAACCAGCTATACCAAGGGCTGACCTCTCCTTTGCCAGTAATTCGTCTCTGTAAGACACGTGCTGTGGCTCTGACTTGCAGGGAAGAGGTCTCATCCCACATTGAGACAACACAACTATTCATTTTAACTTAACACAAACCTACAAGGCTGATCTTTATGACGGTGGACGTGGCAAAAGTATAGGTGCTGGAAAAACAAATATTCTGCCATTTGCATGATGTTCACTACGGCCTCACACACAAATCACTGGCTGTAAGGTCAAGAAAGAATTTCTCCAAATCACTTACCTTTATTTGCTGCAGGGGAGAACAGCTTCTCAGAGCCTACAGAAGCCTGAAAGGAAAGAGAAAGAGAGGGTGAGTAATACTCAAGGAGAATTTAGGAAGGCTTGCTCACAAAAACACAGCTGATAAAACAAGTCTGTTATCTGTAGACCTGCAATTACATGCTGCACCTGGAGGGTGCAATGTTGTGCCATTAAAGAACAAGCGTGCATCCTAAAAAGATGAAAGCAAAGCATGTGGAAGCACTGTCCTGATCTCACCCAGCTATATCCTCCTGCCTCGTTTATTTAGGCAGCCATGCAACGCACAGCTATTTTATCCAATTCTTCATATAAAAACAAAACCAGTGAAACTGCTTTCAAGCTGAAGAAAAAAACCAAACGTTTCCAAGCCTATCTCACTGAAAATAAGCTCATTTCTTGCTGAACACGTAAAATGCAATTGGTGTATTGAAAACACAAGTTGCAAATGAAGACATCCATATGAAAGAGGGTGTTGTACAACATTACACCAAATGATAGGTCCATGCTGCTTTGCACTTAGTTGGATACGAAATAAAACGACTTCCTCTTGGAAGAAGCCCATCTCCTTGCAAACTGGGTTGCACTATGCTGTCTGAGCTCCACGGCTGTGCATTCGCACTCCTCACAGCTCTGGGAAATAGTTAAAGAAATCCAATTAACCTAAACCTTGTAAACAGCCTCATGATAATCAGGGTCACCGGGTTACAGACAAGATGATAATGGCAGACAGGAAAAAAAGTCCATTCATTGTAAATAAAGCTTTTATGAGTTAATTTGATGGCTTCCCCCACCCCCACCTCCCACATGCAAACAGCCAACCTACTGCAGCACAAGCTCTTCCTCCTCGCTATCTGATAAACCAGCAAGCAGCCTCCACAGAATGAAAGCTGGTCTGAGAGCAGGGAGCACCATCAACGTTACCACCATCTATGAGACAGCTAACATTACCGCCAGCATTTTGGCACTCAGTGCTGCACAAATAACATGGGCTGAGGTGCAGAGCGAAAGGGCAAAAGATACCAAATGTAAAAGACAGCTTTCTCCCTTGGCTCTGCTTTACAAAAAAACGAATTAATTCAACACGTGGCTGAACGATATTGATTTTATTTTTGATTTCACTGATTTCACTGTAAGGTGCCTTGGAAGAACCACAAGAGAAAGAGCACTGTGAATTGTACGTTGTTATATATTTTAAGTCATGACTCCAGGGAAAAAAAAACAACAGTAAAATGCAAAATCTGCATCAGATACAGACAGGAGCAAGGAAGGGTGATCTATTAATGTGACTTCAACGGAAATCGGCACTGCAAGCACTGAATGTCTTACTGGATGCAAATGTATAAAGAAAGAGAAATCTACACAAAAAATACATTGAGACTGAGGCGCATAAGAAAGAAATTCTCTATCATGTCCAGGACAAAGCTGCGCGTGGGGCTGTGACATGTATGGCTGCCACACAGCTCTGCAGAAGGAGCCTAAAATGCCAGGGAAAGCAACTAGCTGCAGCACGCCGTCAGTGCACTGACCAAACAGAAGACAAACCAGGATTCAATGGGGCTTTGTCTAGGCTGGGTTGCAAAGAAAGTGTAATGGCATCACGCAGCAGCAAGAGCAGTGTACAAAACGACAGCCAGCTCTGAATTTACAACCTATTGTTCACATTTTTCACATCCAATCAGCACTGTGTCACGATGGATCCCAAAGAGATCTGTGGGCTCTGGCAACACGGGCTGGGGACACCGGGTGATGCTAACGCTAAGGCAGGCTCTGCTGGAGCCCTCGGTGAGCAGCAGGACACGTGGCAGGTGGATAAAGCAGGCTACCCAGCTCACAGGCAGTGCAACATGGCACCCAGGGTGCAGCTGAGACCGCTGCTGTGTAACCAAGAGGAGCACTTCTCATTGCTTCGGGTCCGAATGACAGGAAAACAGTGTTCAAGGAAGTCGAGCAAGAAAAATCGCTTTTAAGAGAAAGTAAAACACATGGATTATTGCTCAGTCTGCTGATAGCAAAACCGCACATGTGGCACCGCCCTCAGCAATCACAGCCAACATTTACAGAGCACAGTTTTCGACATCACAGCCTCGGTTTGCAGACACAAACTTTCACACCTAGAGTTTACAGTAACTTTTGCTCTCGTTTCTGGTGATTTCCAGCTCCAGATCTGAACCATTTTTGGCATAAGCACTGTGCTGGAACAGTGAATGCCTGTGCTATAGCATATTCTGCGAGCTGCAGTAAAGGCAGAAGGGGAGCTGGGGGAGGAAGAGCCTGAATACATCATTCAATTTCATCAGTCACCCTTTAAAGAAAGCATACAATAAAACCTATGTGTCTGAGGGAGCCCACTAATGAGTGAAAAAATCCAGCAAACCAACGCATCTGCTAGAACAAGTCCCCTCCCAAGTTTTTCTGCTGTTTCAAGCAAATCATTTGCATATGATTAAGCAGGGATTAAAAAAAAAAAAATATTAAAAGTGGAATTCTTCCCTTGTGAGCAAAGCCAGGCTCTGGGAGTCCTTTATGTGGACGGGTTCAAGCCATCCCAGGAAATCCCTCTTCTTTTTTGATTAGAGAGCGAAAGGAGGCATTTCCCCTTCCCTCTTGCTGGGAGCCTCCAGGAGCACAGCCCGCACCCCGCAGCTCCTTCTGCTGCTGCACGAGGCAGGGAGACGGCCACAGCCCCAGGCGGGCAGACAAAAGACACCCCACGGCTCTCCAGTACATCTGCTCTTCGTCTCCATTCCCCACGGAGCTCTTCTGCTCTAACTGCATCACAGCCGAGCCCCAGACGGGCATATTCTAATAAAAGCTGCTGCTTGCGAAGTCCCACCCTCAATCACAGTACCGACCTTTGTATCACGAGCATAAAGGCTGCAGGATGTGTCCCAGCAGACACGCACGCTGCCATTTCACAGACTGGCAGCTTCCGAGGCAGTCGCTGCTGCAACTTAGCAGCCAGCACCGTTCCCTCACCATTCCTCCCCTGGATCCCAGCAAACATAAGCACTGCTTCAGCGTAAGAAGCCTCACCCCGGCGGCGTTCCCTCAGACTGCAAGCTGCCAACCTCAGAGGACGCAGCGCAGGCTCCTGGGCAGGCGGGCTGTGCGGCCACGGGCCTCATTCACCATGGCTCCTGCCTCCCCAGGGCAGCTGAAAGGTGCAAGAGCTCTTACAGATCAATCATTTAATGATTATGTAGAACAGAACAATATCATCTGACAGAGCTGGCATCACAAGCTATGTCAGGCCCTGCGGTAATTACTATTCTTCCCCCCTCTCCTTCTTTGTAGCCTATAAAATCGCTTGCAGGGAATAAACAGTTCCTTATCGCTGCGAGCAGAAGTGCCGCACATCCCCACGCAGCACCCCGCAGCACGGAGCAGCAGATCCAACCCGATACCCCGTGCTCTGCTCACTCAACACTGCCAACACGGCCGCAGCTCGGGCTCACAAAGAGCAAAAGCATGTGCTGGTGGTCGGGACCTGGCACACAGCTCCTGTCAGGGCAAAAGCCAAGCATCCCTCCAAATCTGAGTGCAGTGTGGTAGGCAGAAGCAGAGCAGGCAGTAACACAGCTTACATGTCGCTATCTTTTAGATAGTCAAGAGCTGCTCTCGAGTTGAGACTGTTTGCAAAATGCTACCGAACGGGGCAAGCACTGAAAAGCTCTCAAGAAACCTTTCTCCAGGAGATTTTCAAACCAGAAGTGCTGGATATGCTCAGAGAGACTCAGAATAAAGCACGGCCACTACTCGAGAATTCGGAACCAATTTTCATGCCTGCCTTTGATCTGCTCCCCTGCCTTTACGTACCCCTCTGATGCCACTTGATTGCTTGTCTAGCGATGCATTTCAGCATGTCAGTGTCCCAGCTGATTCTATGAACCCTTAACAGCAGAGCCCTTTGAGCAGCAACACCAGAACAGTAACTAACAGCGGAAGGTATTTGTTCAGTTTGTGATTCTCCTATAGGAAATAAAACTGGGTACATATGGAAGTGAAAGACCAGCCTAGGAATCACACACACGCACAAAAACAAACTGAAATTCACCCTGAAGACCAAGAAAGTATTCAGCACATTCCAGGATCGAGAAGCAATGCAGCAACTTGTAAGTAACAGTGCCTGCTTTGTGAGGGCTGAGCTGGGACTTCTGGGAACCTATGGCCTTTTTCAAAAGCAGTACTATCTTTGGAGGGAAAGCCCAGTTCGACTGAGAAGACAAAAGAAAGGCGGATCTTCAAGTTGGTCGTTCCATGCACCACCTCAGGCAAAATGCTGAGGTATATGAAGCACTTCTTGTGACACCTTCTAAGAAAATTCAGCTTTGGGGGACACGGCTGGCTGAAAGCAACCCAGCTGTGCCAGGGCACCAAGCAGAAGGGAGCTGGATACGTGCTGCACTACGAACCCACTTTTCAGCTCAACAGCAAATGGGCTCACCGGTCCCCTTCCCTCTGCGCAGGGTTTACAGCCACTGCTCTGCAAAGGGACCGGTGCCCAGCAGCTGCCAGGGGCACCAACCTGGCAGGGACTGCCAGGCACACAGTGCTTCTGGAAACGCCCTTAGGTACTTGCGCAGCGACCAAAGTGCCCAGAAAACCCTAGTTCCAGCTGGTTAGGAATTAGGAAACATCAATTATGGCTGTTGATTCCCAATGCAAATAAGGACTAATGACTAAACAAGATGAATTCCAGATGGACCTCAAACTTTCCAGCAACATCCCTAAAACTTTGGCTGCGCTTTTCTCTACACTCCAACAGAATGCAGCGAAACGTGCAGGACAAACACCTCGATCAGGCAACCATGTGCTGAAACAGCAATGCCTTAAGTGCTCCCAAACACTTCGGGATCAATTTTGATTCAAGACCATCTCTGGGAGGAGGCGGGTTTTCCACATCTTGTGCAGAAGTTTGCTCTGCAGAGGGTCCATGAGAGAGAAAATGCTTCTGGGACCGCACGTTAGTCCAGAACATACCTGTTTGGGTTCCCACCTCGTACTGGTTTAACACGTGCACATGCAG